ATAGTATGAGCTTAAATTCTTTTGCTCATTTTGTATTCAATAATACTCACCCACTTTCGTTTTATTATTTATAATCACTATTCTTTCTTTCTATAATCATCGTACGGTTCTTTTTAATAAAAATGCAAGAATCGGAAGAAACTTGTGAGGTTGTACGATCTCAAAAAGGAAAAGACAAATTAAATGTTCATGGGTATCTAATGGTTAAAGAAAAAAATGTTGGGAATAAATATTATTGGTGCTGCGAATTTAGGAGGTCAAAAAAATGTAATGGCTGTGCAACAACACTTTTAATTAAAAACTTGCATTATCTGCAAGATATGTCTGAACATAAACACTTGCCTGATGCTAGCCGTGTAGAAGTAGTTAAAGCTATCACTGAAATTAAAAAACGTGCCTCTCAAAGTAAAGAAAAGCCCGTACAACTAATTCAAAATTATATGGCTACCCTTTCAGAAGATGTTAAACCCTTTTTGCCATCACACAATGCTCTTCGTAAAACAGTTGTTCGTTCCAGAAAAACTGTACAATTACCACAACCGCAACATGCTTTGGACTTTGATCTTCCACCCACACTTTGTAATACTTTAAATGGCGATCTTTTTTTAATCGAAGATCGCATAGACGGCCAAAGCAGAACTCTCATATTTTCTACCAACGAAAATATCAAGCGTTTATCCAAAGCCCCCTATTGGATTATGGATAGTACTTTCAAAACGGTGCCAACTATTTTTTATCAACTTTACACCATCCATGCGCCAGTTGGACCTGAAGAAAATTCTAGGATCCTTCCATTAGTATACACACTTATGACAAACAAATCTGAAGAATCTTATAGGTTAGTGTTGGGATTTAAATTTTTTACTACGTATAGCAATGCGTGATACTATTTATAGTTTAGACGTTCAAATAATTTGAGTAATATCACTAAACTTTAATCTAAGGCGATTCTTCAATGGCTTAATTACATTTGCTCAACAAATCGGTATTCAGTTAAATCCAAAATGGATAATTACCGACTTTGAAAGAGCAGCTATTAATGCATCCTGTTGCGAATTTCCTAACGTGGTAAACAAGGGATGTTTTTTTCACCTATGCCAAAGTGGATGGCGTAAGGTTCAGAAGTCTGGTTTAGTTACTAAATATGGAAGTGATTTTTTTTTTAGCCACATGATTCGGCATTTATTTGCCCTGGCATTCCTGCCAGCGGACCAAATTCAAGATGCATTTGATACCCTAATGGTAAGTATGCCTCCAGAGGCAAGTAAAGTAACTCAATGGTTCGAAAAAACTTATATTGGGATACGGCAAGATGATACAATGGACCGCAACTTACCATTATTTCATCCACAACTATGGTC